TCGTTTGTTCTTTCTGTCCACTTCTAATGTAGGCGGCATTCCACCACCGCCCCCGCCCCCTGGTTCAAAAGGTAACACCACTTCCGCTTTGCCCCCTCCGCCTGGTTCGAACGTGAAGAAGGACAACAAAACCATCCGCCTTCATTGGTCCGAGTGGCAACCACGGCCTCAGGATGTGGAAGCCATGACAAAGGCAGTGAAAGCCAGGAAGCCAGACCTGCCTGATGGCGTCGTCAGTCGAACACCCGCAAAGCCATCGACCGCTGTGGACAAGGCTGAAGAACTCAAGAAAGCCATCGAAGCCCTGAAGACCTCCAGCATCTGGTGTGAGGTCGTGCCTGTCGAAGTGGACTATCACAAACTGGAGAAATTGTTTGAAAATCGAGCCGCGGAAATTAAACTTGTAGTAGGTGGATTTGTATTTGCATTCGAATCTCTCTTATTGTTTTTTACTCTTTGCTGAAGTAACGCGAAGTATTTACTAGTCGTCGAGGCGCTGTTCAGGGATGCATAACGCTACACTCTCCTGTCCTTTTATGAAGCGTATGACTCTCCATTGGCCGTTTGAAGCTTTTGCTATTTCTCGGGTTAGGCTTTTCCTGCTTACTTGGCGCGTTTTGCTAGTTTAAATTATTCCCCATGTTTAAGCATAGTTCTAGGTTCCTAAAATGTATCGCATTACACTCATATCTATTCAGGTTTAGGAGTGTATCGGCACATCCACGGTTACATATCAGATTATGAGGATAAACGCTTCCACAATTCGTGGTAAAAAGCGATCCTCATTATGACTTCTTGTTTTTGTATTCCTTGGGAGAGTTACCCTAGGATAACAGTGACTGCAGAGATATTCGGAATGCTTGTTTTAGAAGATTGGTGAGAGGATAAATGCCGCCTGATACCTTGACTTTGGGCCCAGACGGAAGAGAAGAACAGAGACGGAAGGAAATGGATTTAAAGTCTACGCTCACTATGATCAGGTGCAAGTTACCGTCCCTGCTGGGGAACACACGCTGCACCTCGTTGAAAACACTGGCCTACCCGTCACCGTTACGAACAACTATGATTTCAGCCAGTATAGATATTTGGTCTTAAATGGTTGTGGCCCCAACCTCAACGTTTAGCTGAAGAAATAAAATTAAACATGCTTAGGTGAAATAATTGGAAAGGTTTTCGAACTCAGATGACCTGGGAATAATTATACCTCATACCCATGTCGTTTTGAAGCTGACTCACTGTAATTAGGGGAGCCATGCTGTCTGCTGCAAACTGACTCTTCTAATTCCTAACTCTTTCCTAGGCTGCATAATGCGCTGGGATCGTTTTCTGTCAAACAGCACTAAGAACAGAATAAGAAAACAGCTACGAATATATGACGGTGGGGATAGATAACTAGTATTATGAGTGACAGTCAGTTGACTTTAGATCCCTCTCTTCCTTACCCACGCTGTCCTCGCACATTCCAACGTTGTAGAAGCCCACGTGCCTAGAAAAAATACTTACGAAACGACAAGAGCCGTACGACAACGTTCTCCGACGTTAGAAACAAGGAGCGACACATAATATGTGTGAAGGTCTGCGCCCACGCTGTGTAAATCTTCGTGCCCAATCTCACCTACAGCCTTATTTGCGTGTTTTAGCCACTGCCGGAGGGAGAGAGGAATAATGCGGTCGGTTACGCTCAAATATATTGATTTTTATTTCTTATAGGCAGACATATATGCTTTTATAGCATAATGACACGCTAAAAGTAGGGGACTTGGTAGACTACTGAACGTAGCTCGACTCAAAATTCACAGCAGAACATTTTCTGCAAATTTCTAGGAGGAGGGGATGCGATTTCTGCAATAAGACGTTAATTGCCTTGACGTTTGAGATTCTCGTTCGAATACCGCATCGGAGACAGCAGAAGATGAGGATAATAGAGGCACACGGTGCGTAGTATTTATAGTCCAATGTGGCCACGTGACCACAGCCGTACTACAATTAGCAGCTCTTGAGATCACCGCCGGGGAGGGGGGGGTCATAATTGATGAGATGATGGATTGGCAGCCCGACGGTGGATGGATCCGAAAGGTAAAGCCACTAAACTCCTTCCCCCTCCCCAGCGATAACATCCTCTCTTTCTAAACTGCTATTTGGACCTCACCTGTTCGTTTCTATCAGCAAACTGTAACTTGTATTGGCACCCACACGGACTCTTGGTTGAAAATAAGTTTGCGCAGATGTAGGGGGCACACGTGTGTGTAGTAAATGTCAACGCGTCGTGGATGTCCTCAACTCCCGAGTCATTATTCGCATTCATCTGCCCTGGTTCTGCCTTTTGTGTAGAACATGCTGAGTACTGTAGGAAAACCTGATACGCTTGTATAACATGCTTGGTTGACGATAATAAACTATCAATTACACGCACGTTATCGTCGCGCCGCTGCTGACACCTGTGGAAGTCCTCGCTGCCAGCCAGGAAGGACTTCCATCATTACATCCGTCATACTATCACCTTAAATACTAATCAGTGGATCAACCGATCCCCTCCCAGTTGCATCAATCAATCATAAGGTCTTCTTGATTTGCGTTTCTGGAGTTGTAACTAATACTCATGTTGACAGTAATTTAGGTTGCATATGAGAGAACAACAGAAGTGGCCACTAACTCAATTTGGAGTACCACTGTCGGGTTCATTATATTTTATTTCTTCAAACTCGCTCAGAGAAAGCTTCGAATGTCACGTAATTTGACGTCCGCCGAAGGCGGTTAAATGTTGTTTTTAATTTTGACAAGAACAATAACAAAACATTAAAAGGGTTTGACTGCTATTACCTGTTAGGATGTAGTCCTTTTCCCAGACATTAATGATTGAAATATTGGTTTTAGAAAGCGGAGGCCGCTGGGAAGAAGATCGAAATTTTGGATATGAAACGTTCGAATGCCATTAATATTGGTATGAAAGTTCTCCCTCCACTGAGTACCATCAATTGTGCTTTGATGAAAATGGACTCTTCCGTCATCAACAGAGAAGGCATTGAGGTAAGAGTGTCGCAACAATCTCTTATTTAATCATCTTAAAGTGTACTGACATTGATTTTAGTTTATAATGATGAGAATTGAACAGATAGGTAACCGCTAACGTTTTGTTTTCCAAACGCATTATAGAAACTTCTGCAAAATATGCTGCCAACAGAGGAGGAAATAGACAAGATTTTGACTGCCAAACGCGAGAACGAGAATTATCAGTTGGGAAGCGCCGAAGAATTCCTTTTAACCCTCTCCGAAGTCACAAACCTGAAGCCCAGGCTTGAACTGTGGCTGTTCAAACTTGACTACGAGTCGACGGAATCGGAAATTATTGAGCCTTTGGCGGATCTTAAACAGGTTATTATTTGAACTAACAGTAAAGCTACTAGACCTTTTGAGACAGATCCTATCAACCTTTTTGAATTTCCTTGTTTCCTTTAGGCCGTTCTGGATCTGCAAAAATGCAAAACGCTTCGTTATGTCCTCTCGGTCGTCTTGGCTATGGGAAACTTCCTAAATGGAAGTGCTTCACGTGGCTTCAATACAGAATATCTTTCAAGGCTTCCGGAAGTAAAGGACGTTGTTCACAAGCACAGTCTCCTCTACCACGTTTGCAATACAGTCATTGAACAGTTTCCAGATAGTACAGGTATGCTCAAAGCTATTGCTCTATTTCTTGAACTAAGTTACCCCTTGCGTTTAGTCATGAATGAAAGCATATACTGATGGTTTAAATAAATCCACGCAGAAACTGAGATAAATTACTAGAAACAACTTGCTAACCCAGCCCCGCTAGGGTGAAGCACAGAAGTCCGAATAAATAAAACGAGAAAGATTTCGGACTTTCATGTGCTTTCATTGTGTCTCCGTCGGCAGTTGGAGCATTGGGGGACGACCGCCGTGTGTTTCATGAAATGAGCGCTGTATCTGTGACTTGCGCGTAAATTATTTCGTAGTGAAGCGGACTTGCGCAACACCTGCTGCACCCTTTCTGCCCTCACCCCCGCCCTGCCCTGATGGCAAGACAATTTGAAGACGGACTGAGACAGACGCAGATGGCAAAGCTTAACACCCCATCTACGCGGGCTACACATGCCCCAGTTCCAATTAATTTTATCAGATTTCAGTGATGGCAACTCAGACTTTACATGGCGAGGGTGCCACAAAAACACATGACGAAGGAAACATTACAGTCCTGAGAAGCACCCAGTCATTCTGCCAGTTGGAAACCTTTTAAATTTCTACTTTTATTGCGTCAGCATAGATTCAAGCCCGTCTAACTAATGCTACCGAGCAGTACCCGGGTGTGCCGTGAGGATGGATGCTTAAGCAGCGGCTTTTCTATCTTTCCTTTCGCACGGGCCAACCAAATCTGCAGGCCTGCTAACCAACTGGTAATTAGTTCGGCGAACTGACGGACGCGGTGTGAAGACCTACGCTTAGGCGTACTACCACACCCCTTTCACAGAGAGGAGTTGTGAGTTCGCGCGGACATCGCGCTGTTTAATTTCGGCGTGCCACAAACCAATGTGTCTGTGTTTCGAGTCTAAAGAAGTTTGTTGCGGAAGCCAGTTCCGCCTCCAATTGCTCCAAGCATGCGAAGCCTGCAAAATACGACACAAGCATATTAATTTTATTGCCCTTGATACCTTCTAATCTTATTAGTTTAAGGCGTTCGCTTAAATTTTTTTCTAAAACAGGAAAACAAGTTATTGCTCCCGTAATAGGTTGCCGACCCGCTTAACTTAGTTGTTAAATATTGTGCTACTTTATAGGTTTTAGTAACACCTCTTTATTATTATTTGCCTAGACATGCACTCAGAATTGGGCTCGGTGTGTCGGTGCCACAGGGTGGATTGGGATGAACTTGACCGTCGGTTAGCTACAGTAGAATCAGATTGTCGAAGGGCTTGGGAGCATTACCAACTGATCTACAATGCTAACAAGCAGAGAAACTTTACCATTCATAATAGGTAAGTCCATTTGCTCCCCCTTTTAAAATTCTGAACCAAATAAGACAGTCGATTTATCCATCAACACTATGCAACGAGTTATTTTTTTCTCTCTGCATCCACATATGGACCAGTCTGTGATACTTCTTATGCATTCGCTTCATTGGTTATTTTGTTGTTTCAGGAGTGTGTGTCTAGGCGGTTTACTTGTTTGTCTTCTGCTTATCCCGGCAGTCCCTGTAAGCGCTAGATGAGAAAACGTGACCTGTTGGTTAAATGACGAATAGTAGTAAAGTGCTGTGACCGAATTATTCAAACACACGTCAGAAGGCCGTTCAGCAATCCGAATCAAAAACTTTAATTAGATTTTACTTTGGAGGTCCGTTTTGACTCGTGGCAAGTGGTCGTTTCGCGATTTGAAGCTATCGATGAGCATCCCTCGCGTGCGACTTTTTAATTGTTAGGAACAACTACAGACGTAATCATATTTGTGTATAAACTAATCAATTTTGAAAGCGGCAGGACGTGGGAGAAGAAACCTAGCGCCTATTGTGGGGCTTTACATTAACTTCCGAAAGATAAGTGTTAGCATTAAGGTTAAACTAGTGTTGAAAAGGATTAGAGTTAAGATCAGGGCTAAAGTGAGGGTTATATTAACATGAAATGTCGGGTTAAGTTTGAAGGTTTGGATAAGGATTTATTTTAAGTTTAGAGTTGAAATACGGGAATATTTGCCTTTGCTGGATTATTGCGCAAAGCCATCGATGTGGTTCCTGCTGCCATGTCTTACCTCTTAATCTAAGGCATTTCAGCGTCTTACTTAAGTGTATATCCTGCGCTATTCAATGCAACTTTCAGTGTCCTTTTTAGTTGTTCTGTTAGCATTCCACACCAGTAGATTAATGCTTGTACAATTATATACGTCTGAATTATAGCCAGAAACGGTGAGTTCCGGTATCAGGGGCTGTGTGTTCGTTCTGTCGTACTAAGCATGCCTAGAATTTGTTGTGCTCAGTGTTGTTTACTTGTGCTTTTTACCCATTATCCGTCTCCCCGTTGTTCCACTTCCGTCTCCCCTGTCAAGTGTTGTCACGTTCACTCTAACTAATTCCCTGTCTTATCAGACATTAACCTGTTTTTGGGCCAAATTATTTCCTATTTCCCACACAGTGACACTCAAATGGAAAAGAGGTAGGTGCCAATGCCAGTTGACTTCAGCCCTCTCCTGTCATTTTTGTGATGCTCGTTCACGTGCGGACTAGCGAAACAAAACAATAGCAACACTTGACTAATTTCAATCCACTTATTACCACCACCATTGGCGGCTTTATCTGTATTATTGCAACTCCATGACTTTTCAATAGTCGTATTCGACGACCTCCACCGTGCGTACCACTGTAAATGGGCGCAGGGATGGTGACTTGCGCGTCAATTAGATTATAGTGAGAACGGATTTGCCCGGCGCCTACCTCGCCCACTGATCCTCTCTCCCATCTGTCAAGACAGAGTCAAGAAGACCGGGTATAAGAGAGGGCGCAGATGGCTGGCGGAGCTCTCCTAAGCGTGCCGCCACACCTGGCTTGAATCCCGGAGAATTAGAGTACCATCAAGGCCACAGTAAAAAGGAGACATTGCAGCCTGACTCTACGACCGTCGGTCGGTCATTCAGCCACTTCACACAAGCACACCATATACGGGGCTGACTGCGTGGTCCGAGTTATCCCGCCAGTTTGCCACCTTCCAAGCCACCGCTTTTAGCGCATCTTGATAGCTTTAAGTGTGTCACCTTGTTTATAGTGAAGGAAATGCGCTGAACTGTCGATCGCACTCTCCACTATTCTCCGAGGCCCCAGTCA